ATATATAATACTCTTATTAATTTCCTCATCTATTTGTTAAGTCTGTGAACCATAAGCAACTGGCTCGAAATAATCAAAAATTGGGGTTAATTAGGAGAGCTGCAGTTCGTTACGCCCAGAAAAGAAATGGCTAGATCTGCGCGTTGTTTTATCATCTTTTACGTTTACCTGAGCACTAACAGTAAATATTTGACTTTGCCCTTAGCCGGAACGGATCACGTTTTGATTAAGACCTTAACAACGCTTGTTGGAGCTGTTATTAGTTATGCTTTTCATTGGCCCCCTGGAAACGTGACTATGACTAATTAGCCACATTTTGTGCCTTATATTGTCTCAGTATGTATATCAATCAGCCAAGCCCCAAGCAATGACTTGACAATCGACGATTAATTCTAAGCATTTTCATTTGCCGACAGCCAGCGACTAAACAATGGGCTTGCATTAATTGCCATTTAGTGAGCGAATTGACAAACAAACAAACTGACCTCGCCATGCGCCCATGCATTGGTCCAATGAGAACAAAATTCACCTCTGCATTAAGCAAATGACCCCAACAATTTCCGCCATCAATTAATACACGTTCCTCTAAGCAGCAAAAATAACAAATCATAAGTCGGCTTTTTGCTGTGAACGTTTTTCAATTACTTCGAGTGCAGTACAGCTTTATGAGAGCAGCGAGACTGGAGTTACCCTTTACTATTTTTATATTTACATATATTTTTTATGTATTCAAGAACTTTTTTTAAAACTACTAATATTAATAGATATGTTCGTTAAATCAGTATAAAATTAAAGCCGCTTAACTTTATGCCACCATGAACGTAAAACAAAATGCTATGCAATTGATTCAGTAAATATTTTTATCTATCATTTTCATAGCTATCAGGTTTTTATAACGTACCATTATATAACCTGTACCTACATTAGCAACTGGCAACAATACGGAGCTCTAAATTTTTTATGCTTATCAAAGCAGTACAAATTCAAGTCATTAAAATCCCGCTAAATACCTATTAAAGATACATTTATAGCTTGTGTGTTTACAAGCCAATCCTAAGTGTATTTGATGTACTTGGATTTAACATGCTGATTAAACCACGAAATTAAACCAGACCAGCTCTACATGACAAAAATAACTCGTATGATACATATCAATAATATGCACTGCATATGTCTGCTAGCGAACTAGCAAACGATGTCAATTCCGATTTTTTCTTTTTTATAGCGTTTTGCACAAGTTAGACTTTATATCATAAACAGAGGGTATGAAAAACAAAACCCTGGTGTCTTAGATCGTGCAGCCGCAACAGCTCGAGCCGGAGCTGCCACACAAATTATGGTCAGCCGTCAGCTGGCAGCTGGTCGACCTTGATGTAGCCATTTGCACAAATATCTAGACGATCTCTTGCTTCGATCGATTTTTCGAGGCGCGCTACAAATCGATCAGAGCCGCAATAAAACGAAGTTTTGCAGCGTTGCGTCTCAATTTTGTGCAATGTTTTTCCATTTCGCTTTTTTTTGGGCTGTAAACTAAATTATATTCAAATTTGTTTGGCTTGGCTGCGCCTCGACTGATAAAAATCCCATTTGGTCGGACCTTAAGTTGCTTTTACTTTGCCGCAACAATGAAATAAATAAGTAAATAAATTACATTTAATTTGCGTAATCAGCATTCAATGGCATTGGAAAATTTCGATTATATAATTATGGCTTGCAGTGAGGGCAGAGGCCAGACTATATGAATGTGCCGGCAAATCGATATTACAACAGTAATTGTATGCCTAGATTTATAGCTGGAATTAGTTCATAATTGAAGCCGCATTCTCTTAGCAACCACACAAGAAATCGTGCCTGGCCACGATTGCTCATACGTCCCGTGGGCGCTGCATGGCAGCGGGTCAAACGTTTGGGTCAACCCACCCAAAATCAACCAAAAAAGAGAGAAAAAAAAAAAAGCTGAGTGTGAGACAAATTGAATGCAGCAACTGGTCATGAGTCATGAGTCATGACAGACAACTGCTTACTGCAGTTGAGGAAATCATTTTGTTAACAGATTTGCAGGAAGCACTTATGTAAATATTTGGAAGTTTTTATCTCACTTACGGATCAACTGGCCATGAAATGCAAAACCCCATCATAATGAGATGCACCTGAACAAATGAAGACAGCTTTCAAAGAAAATGCAAATGCTTTAAACGCTTTACCGCGGCGGTCAGAAAGTGTAACAAAGGGACGCAAAGCAATGCACGAAACCACATTTCATTTGCATGCAATTAGCGGAAGCTGAGAAGACGCGAATAAAACGACTTGAAAATACCCTGTGGAAATTTGAGCGAACTGAGACTATAACACTATAAGCTTAAATTAAAAAACTTGATCACTATATGAATAGTTCCAAGACAGTCTTTGACATCTATAAGTAACTCGATATTACGATTGTCATCGTAAACCGTCGTGAATATATAACTATTGTTCTTCAAAATATTTTAATGACAATAGCTCACATTAGTTGTTGAAACTGATTACTCAAAAATAATCTAAAATTAATTATACAAATTATCCAAATATATTGTACTGTATATGATCTATTCGTTCTCCATGGAAATGTAGTAAACAGGCGACTGGTCCGGGCAGTTAGACAACTGGAAGTCGCTTTAACTTACAACAAATTGAGCTTATTCCCAATGCTATGCGCCAATGACAAGAAACCGGACAATTCTAAAGTTGACAACGTGCCTGCCTCGCCCTCTGCCCCAGACCCACACACCAGTCGCTAGTGACTTTGATGAACGCAATTTGATTAGCTGCGTTGCTCTAATAGACGGCTGTCAGGCCTGGACCTGAAGAGCTTGGTGCAATGGCAACCCATTGCGACATTTGCAAACCGAAGCTAAACGCTACAATCCGAAAATAAAATAAAAACAAAATCAGCCCATTCACTTTTTTCTGTGGAAAACGTGGAAATCAGCCAACAATTGAAAATATTTTTTGCTATACTTTTTTTCCCATTACTTAACTAAAAGTGTAATTGTTCGACCACAGCGGTCACAATGTGAACAAACAATCGCTAGCCAAGTGCAAAGCATAACTTGGCTCACATATGGACATAACTTAAAACGGATGCTTGTCGCATCGTAAGACAACTGGAATAATTATTTATGGATTTTTTTTTCTTTCTCTGTTAAACAAGTAGTCAAGGACAGAAAGACTTTAGAATTGGCAGTTGTGAATTATTAAGCTCAATTAAGTATTCTTACTCTTCGTAATATTTCAAACGGGTATTTGTGTGGGAATTGCCCATGTTTAAACATGGCTGGTTCTTTTATTATAAAAAATGCCAAATATATCATTAGATGTGAGGTGATCATATTTGAAATGATTAAAGCATTTTTTAAATTGTATTTGAAAAAGTAAAAGGAATGTAAATCAAAACATACATTCAGCCTTTTGTTTATCGAGCAGATCAACCTCATTCACAGCCATGAACCCGAGATTGAAGAAATATTTGAAAGAGATTCTACGTTGAATTATATCTATTATATTTTTATTTTTACCACCGAATAATATGTTTGCTTATATTAAATCGTGTCTATAATAAGCTACGACGCAACAAAATATATAATTATTAGTCAATTTTTTATCCATTTGCTCAATTATTTTTATAATTGTGAAAAGCATATTGGAAAGTATATTGGTTTATGTAGTGCAATGATAGAATTTCGAAATATATGTACGAACGGCAGATAAAGTATTCAGCAATTGCATCTCTATAAAGTTATTGAATTCTAAGAAAAGCTCTTAAGCTTAGATTATCAATATTTTAAAAAAATATATTTTTTTTTATATATATTGAATATATTAAATACGCTTAGCCCATATATTAGTTGATATAACTTTCACTAAAAATATATATAGCTTTCTATTGGTGCATGCTCCAAATTTAGGCTTATGCCAAAATTTGGCTTTCAGATAATATCGTATCATAAGGCACCTACTAAATGCCTTCAACCAATGTAATTATGTGAGCACGGTGCTATTTAGATTCACGCCAAGCCAGGCTTGGGCTCTTATGTAAATGTGGCAAATGATGATTAACAATTTTCTGAAACGAACTACGCTGACCCCACGGCGTCGTAGTTTAAACTAATCTATGTGCGCTGAGCTGAACTCGCGCAACTTTTCGCACTTCAGAGCTGGCTAATATTTTGTGAGCCGAGCTTATTGCATTTATACGGACACTATAATTAGCCTATGGACAAGACTCGGGTGCCGTGGCACGGCGCCTGCGCAACCGGCCGACAGGCTGCAATTCAAATTGAAGATCAGCGGGGGGAAAGGGGCGAACAACTTGGTGTTTCGCTTGGTAATTGAAGAAACTGTTGGTAAAATTTTAGTCAATGCACAATTTGCGCCATAAATGGATTTAAAAAAAAAAAAAAATAAGAAAAGCAAGCAGAAACAGACTCAAAAATAAAATAAAACAATGTCGACAAATCTGTGGCGTCTGGCCATTATAATTTTCAGTGGTAAATTGTTAGCCAAGTTTGGGTATTTAGTATCTATCGAATATACGTACATCGACCCCTCCGGCCGGGGTTCACAAAAATGTCCGAAAACACACAAATCGCGTTGCGATGACAAAATTAAAATTCATTTACGCTCAAGTAAATATTTACGCAATAAATTTGCATTTAATTGCATTTGTGAAAAGCGAGCGAGCCGGCACAAGCGACCGAGGCATGCGAAAATGCCACAAAACATTGGCCAAAATCAAATCAAATTGGAAAGTGACGAGCGTGGAATGACGACAATTAAATACTCTTCAAATGTGTGCGAGATGTACGAGCTAAAGTTTAGAGATAAGCGAGTTCAGCGGCTCCTATGCTAGCCAAAATGTTGACGTAGATCAAGACTTTGATCTTAAAGCTTAAACGTGAGCTGGTTTATGAATTATTAATGGCTTTATGCAAGTAATAAGAAATTATAATGTTTCTACTGAACATGTTAACTATGTGGTATAGTAGATGGAAGATGAAAAGATTTTTACTAAGATACTAACTACACATATTTATTAAATGAATATAGGAACGGTTAAAAGAAATTCAATTCATATAGGTTTAAGATTAATTATTCATAGTAGATACAAATGATCTACTAGAGAGCTGTGTTATATATGTATATTCAATTAGCTCTCTTCTGACCTTGGAGCCTCAGCAATAAAAGCTTTTACATTAAGAGCGTAACTTGGGTAATATGAAGAAGAGTTTAGTCTACATAAGGTAGGTAGATTAATATGTTTAGCTATTTGAAACAGTTAATCAAGAAAATATATATTTACGAAACAAAAATTGTAAAATAGTGAAAGATTGTCCTAGATTGATATACTAACAGACAGTATATAGTATGATAAAAATTATTATTATGGTTGTGAAACATATACAAAACATACACAATGTTATACATACTACCAGCAGCATCATAATAATCTAAATATCTCTTATCATATCATTTGAAAAAGTTGTTCCCCATCCGTTACACATTCCATGCCAAAAATGTCATATGCTCTGCCAAGTGTATCCCATACAACTGTCCGCAAATGCAGTCCAAATGCCAACAGCAGGCCCAACACCCCAAAACCCCGGCTACCCAGTTGGTAGCCAATGCTCAGACCCCATTTGATGTCAAAATCGAGGCAAAACAATTTGCGCGACGTATCGAAATCTAATCAAATTATGCGCCAGAAATGTCGAAAAAGCGTGAAATGTTTTGCCTGCGGGCCGGAGTACGCTTGCCCATTAACCCTGACCAGGCGGCCAGCACTGGGGGAAATGAGCGCCTAGCGGGTATTTGTATAAGGGGCCCAGGGGGGGCAGGGGGTAATAGGTAATGGTTGCGCACCTGACGTATTCAAAAATTGCATCAAAATTGCAGCAAATAAGAAGCGCCGAATGCAAAGCATTGGCAAATGTTGTGCAAAAGTGTTTGGCAAATAGCAAATAGCTGCAGCTGTATCTGTATCTACAAATATGTATCTGGCGGCATGAGCACTGCAACTAAGCGCGGATGATGCGTGGACACTCCATGCTCGCATTATTGGAGCGCTTCAGTGCAGCTCTGCGCCAGGAGTTGGGTCGCTGCGGCCAAAAATGTTTTGATGCGGTTCGCTTAATGTGTTTTAGCCATAAACCAAACTCAACTCGTCGCGGCCAAAAATGCAAAATGCCAACAATGAGCATGGCACATAACTGCGAACAGTATCCAAACTCTAACTGCGTGGCCTCCCAGCCTACATTTTTCTTCTCCTTTTTTCTTTTTGTATCTGGCTTCGTTTATTTGTTTTTGTGCGCCTAATTGAATTTGTGGGCACACTCTATTAGAATGTGTGTGAGTGGGTGTGCGTGTGTGTATGTGTGTGTGTTTGTTGGCCAACAAGTGTTGTTCACATGAGTAGTTCATTTGGCTAACTATATGCTAAATTTTGCATGTTCCTGCCACACCTTGTAGACAATCGTTAACGGGCGCGTTTTTAATCGCTAGAAAAACGCGTGCAAGTCGCATACATTGAGATTGTGAAAAGCGTGTGAAAATTTATATTTATGAAAATGTTTACAAATAAATTTATATAAATTGACATAAAATGTTTATAAATATACATATATCATTATTTGAAGATGCTTCCTTCACCTATGTTCATATAAAAGTATAAGCAGGAGCCCTTGTTTCTTCCAGTTCACTAACGGAAGCGAATAGCTTTATCGTTGGTCGACTTGAAAATCAATTGAACCAGTTTCCCATTTATCTATAATTGTATTTTAATTAGGGGCGCTTTGGTAATTCAAATTCAATTATCCGAGCCAGCTGTTCAGTCAAGCTAAACCAATCGAATTGAAAACGAAATTTCATTCAATTGTTGTTGAACTGCAATGCTGCAATGGGGGGACAGCAAAAAAAGATTTGTCAAGCTGGAAAAAGATGAGATAGAGAAAAGTGAACGGAAGTTGCCAGGCAACTTTCAGCAAACACAATGCACTGCAGCTGGATCGGAGGAGGAGATGGAGAAGGAGTTGGATGATATGAGGCCTGTTTAATAAGCCGTTGCAATAACAACAAAGATGCGTTGCAGAGATGATGTATCACGTTGCCTGGAAATTAATTTGAAAGCAGCCAACTAGAGAACTAGAGAGAGGGGGAATAGATGAGCCAATGCACAACATTTTAGTGCCACAGGCACACGCACGCACACGCACACACACAAACACATTTCCACTCGCACTCACACATGCACATATTAATTAATTCAAAATTGCATTACGCATACGCACAGGTGTACGAGCGATGCTTAAACTAAACGAAAAGCCGAGTTGTGCCACACATGCAGCTGCCGCAGAGAGAGAGAGAGCAGCACTTGGCCAAAAGACTCGTAAAATAAAAACACAGCACACACGCCACACATAAAACAAAAGCAACAATAACCCGAGCTAACGAARCAACAACAACAACTATAACTGCGTCAACTAGAAAAGGCTCTAAAGACCCAGCTCTAAACATTTTGATAGAAATTAAGTCGGAATATGGCCAAATTCAGGTAGTTGGCTTGCAGGCAGCTGACACTGTGGGTGTACACTCTGCACCACATGTCACACACTCGCCCCGCCAGCCAGTTCATGTGTTGTGGCACGAACCAAACCAACCAAGACAAGACCTGGCCGACGGTCCACGCTGCCAGCCAGACTGTTTGGCCACTTAAGCTGCCCGCACTGCGCTCCAATGCAAATTATCTACCCCAGAGCTCCGATTTGGCTCGTACTTTCGGACATTTATTGTACGACTGTCGTCTAGAGATTTTCGTTGCCGTTGCCGTTGCCGTTGCCTTTACCGTTGGTTGTCATGACTGCCAATTGCAAGTTTGTTCAAGTTTGCAACACATGCCGCCCAGGCCAGGACATGGCTGCCTTCGATACATAAAGAAGCCTGACTAGAGATGAACCAGTGAGCAACTAACTGAATCGATAGTTTCAGAAGTTGAATTATCACTAAAAGGATGGGAGCTTCTATGTGAAAAATGTATTTGCGACACTAGTGTTGCAATGTTGTTTATTATTATGAACTGGTTCAATTGAACAAATATTAGTTGGTTCTATATTAAATTCATTACTCATTAGGAATATGATGCCGAATACTGTGCCTACGGAACTACATAGTTCAGTTGAAATTCAACATTTACGAGACACCGATTCAAATGAACTACTCGAATATCTACTTGAAGCACGATCTATTTTGAACTAGATCCGCTTAAGCTACAAATTACATGTGAATACACTCAAAAAATCAAGGTTTCTGTTATTAGGCAGTACTCCTGTTCCTTTGCAGCTGGTTCTTTTAAAATTATAGTTCATGGTAAAGTCAAAAGAGCAATGAGTTTTGAGCTAGTTCATTTCAGATTTTATATTAAGCTCATACTATTGATCTTGTTTTTCATGCAAGCTGATATTTGTATACAATCAAAATATTGAGAACGGGCTCATTTGTTCAAGCTGGATCGTAGATCTTAATACTCTGATTAAAGCTCCTAGTTTAGCAAAATAATGCATGCATTCAGATTTTGATATGAAATCTTGAGCTGCTTTCTTACTTTAAATTACTAAATACAATATTAAAGGAAATTGAACAGACATACTTGAGACCAATGGACTGGGTACATCCCTAATGCTTAGTCCGCCTTGGTCTCGGTTCACCAAGCGCAACAAAATGGGCGAAAATTCACTTAATGCTGTTTTATAGTTGTTTTTCTTTAACGATTATGACAGCGTCTGTGGTCAGGCTTCGTTGGTCTTTTCTGCTATGGGAAATCTATGGGAGGCACGACGGCTATTGGAAGCACCAACAACTGGTATCCCAACGCTTGACAATTTTTAGTTTATTTATCATAAGTTTAACTAATGTAGGGTATAGCGTACAATTTCAACTACATATACATACGTATATATCTATATATATTGCCTTATTATAAAACATAAACGTATATATATATACACATATGTATACGACATCGGTGTGTTCATGAAACAGCTGACGCTAGCTAATCTGAATATACATAAGATGTTCTGATTGCAATTGAAAAATATATATATATTCATATATACAAATATATATATACATCAGGATGATCAATTGGAAGCCGACGGACGCGGATCCTCCACAGAGACCAACCAGCTACAATTAAGTATTTCACGTAGGTCCCAACGAGTCGATGCATCTGGTTCCAGCAGTACCGACACCGTCGCTTTGGCGTGCGGTGATATTACATCCTGTAGCTTGCGGCGAAATGAAAACTTCTTGCCGCGCTGATCCTCCAGCAATTTCGTCAGATTACTATCATCAAACGGCATTTTTGCATTCATCATTATAAACAATATAACGCCCAACGACCAGGCATCGGCCATCTTTGGATCGTATGGAACCCCACAGACCACCTCCGGCGCTGCATAAGCGGCCGAGCCGCAATATGTTTCCGATTTCAATTGATGTCCGGACTCGTCTCGACAATATCGCGCAAAACCAAAATCGGCCAACTTGACATTTAGGCGCTTCGACAGCAATATATTCTCGCACTTGAGATCCCGATGGGCAATGTCGTGAGTGTGCAGATACCTGAGAGCTTTCGCCATTTGAAAGAACCAGACCTTCGACTGTTTCTCATCGATGGGTCCCGTCTTTTTGATGTGCGTCAGCAGATCACCCTTTTCGGCGTAACGCATGAATATAAAGATTTTGGGGCCGCGTTGCAAAATGCTGTGTATCTGTATGATATTTGGATGATCTAGCTTCGTTAGTATCTCCAGTTCACGTGGAAAGAACTTGTGCACAAAATCGGTGGGTGCTTTCGCCTTATCGATGATCTTGCATGCCAAGTTAACGCCATGCCCACTTTCATCAGCATAGCCAGCGGTTATTACAGTCGCATAGGAGCCCTCGCCGATTTTATGGCCAATATTATAGCCACGCTGGGCGAGAGCATCAATATCCGAGCTGCGTGCGGTCAGCTGACGACTGCCTCCATAGTTGGTCATGTTTTACGGAATGTCGGGCCTCACCAATAACAATGATATTGCTATGATCCTTTTAGTTAACCAACTGGTTTTGTTTGGTTTGGTTCATGGGAAAGTTAATTAGGATTTGAGACACATCATTCACATACTAATTAAATATATTTACCGTTATGTTGGATTTTCCCTTACTAAACTTGAATTTGATGGAACTATAATAAAGTTAGAAAACTGCCTATTCCAATCCAGAAATTTTGACGAAACAACAAATGTTGTGAAAGAGCAAAGACAAATAATAAAATAACTGAAATTCAAAATGCAATTAACATAAATTTTGTGTTAACTGGCCATGTCTACTATGCTCCAGATTTTCAATTTCTAAGTGAAATAAATCATCTACTTGATGTGTGAATACAAACAAAACTTTTTTGTTTTAACTAATTAAGCTCAACTGACAGCTAATGATATCGTTGCCTGATGATCGTAAACGATATATTCATTCCTTTTATGAGCATAAAAAATGAGAATGTTCTAGATTCGACTGGTAGATACTAATTAAAAACTATGAGCTTGATGTTTATAGAGAATTTGTGCTGCTGGTTTAACTGAAGCAGCTAAAGTTTCGATCTTACAATCTATGTAATTGCTGCAGATCTGATGTCTTTTATAGCTAGAGTGCTCTGATATATGAATTGAATTATAAGACACACTTAGTCACATCTTAAACGGATCTTCAATGATAAATACCAATGATTCGAGTGAATATGCATACAAAACTATTTGTAATTTTGTTGTATCAATATTTATTTTTTATATCAAAATATACGTAGCCATATTTAATGCTGAATTATCAAAACGACATCTATATCAAAATTGATGTAGTTTTTGATAAATATTCCTTTGAATTATTCGAATTAAATCATTGAAGATTGTCATTTTATGAGGGAAATATACTTCATAATGCATTAATATGCTTCTCAATCATATATATAAATAATTTGAGCGAGAATTATAAAAATTATATCTCATTACTTCATAATACAGTTTTTCATATCTTAAGCTAATCTTTATGATATACATCAAATATTACTTATACATTAATCATGAGAATCATCACAATGTACATACACTACAAATTAAATATAACAATAATCAGCGCTGAGAAGAGCTCAAATACATTTGTAAGTCTTCTCAGATTACTCTGTGATATAGTTAACATAGGCATTATTTGTCGAAAATTGTGTTAGATACAAATTTGTTATCACTCATTTGTCATCTGCAAGTGCCTGCAACTGCTTTTCACTCCGCTTTGTAATTTCTAGTTCTATATGTACATATAGAGAGAAAGATATATATATATTTTGTAAAAACCAAAGTTAACTGTGTCTCGTTGATCAAAAATCGTTTTGTTTCATTTAAGTTAAGTTCGTTATTGTCCTTGTTCTATCACGTTTTTATTTTGTCAAAATTTCTGGAACCAAATAGGAATTTTTGTTATTTTTATGTAATAGTACCATCAAATTTAAGTTTAGTCAATTTAACCAATGCAACGGTAAATATGAGTGCAGAATGCATTTATCAATGAATTAACCACGCCCATTCATGCTGATAACCCTACAACAATCCTGCCCCATCTAGTTGGTAAATAACACACAAAAAGGCAACTTTGGCAACACTAAATCATGTGCAACAATGGAGAAATAGTACCCCAGACACGGGGCACTCGAAGCTCCGACATCCACGCCCTGGCCCAGCAGGGCTACAAAATCGGCACCAAAATTGGCGAGGGATCGTATGCGACTGTGATAAATGCCACCTTCGTGGACGAGTCTGGTCGCAATATCAATTTGGCCTGCAAAGTTATCGACAAGGATAAGGCGCCCGTTGACTTTGTCGAAAAGTTCTTTCCGCGTGAAATGGACATATTGACAAAACTGGATCATCCCAATATCATTCAGATCCATAGCATTTTGCAACGCGGCCCCAAGATCTTCATATTCATGCGTTTCGCCGAGCGAGGCGACCTATTGACCCATGTCAAGAGAGTGAGCTTCATTGAGGAGAAGCAGGCCAAAATATGGTTCTATCAGATGGCCAATGCGTTGAAGTATTTACACAGCTTCGATATTGCCCACAGGGATCTCAAGTGCGAGAATATATTACTCTCCGAACATTTCAATATCAAGCTAGCCGATTTCGGTTTCGCCTGTTTCTGTCAAAGCAACAACGGCAATCGTGTGTTGTCCGACACATATTGTGGCTCGGCAGCCTATGCTGCCCCAGAAGTTGTCTATGGAATGCCCTATGATCCAAAACTGGCCGATGCCTGGTCATTGGGCGTCATACTGTTCATAATGTTAAATGGCAAGATGCCGTTCGATGATGCGAATCTGTCCAGACTCCTGGAGGATCAACGCTCCAGAAAGTATGCCTTCCGTCGCAAGCTGCATGACGTTATCTCGCCTCATGCCAAGGCAACCGTTGCCGTCCTGCTCGATCCCTGTCCGGAGTCACGTTGGAATCTGCGCGAGATTCTCAAGTGCAGTTGGCTGCTGATGGAAAGGGAGCGCCCACAAAAGGAGCACTTGCCGCCGCCAAACCAACAATTGCAACACGAACACCAACACGCACACGAACACGAACACGAACACGAACAAGAACAAAAACAACAATAATTTATAACAATTTACGGCTACGAATTGTCTTTTAGCCATTCTAGCTAAATAATTCGCGTTTTGTACATAGTTTTGATACCACGAAAAGGCCACGATAAAACTTACATTTATCGATAGCTCATAGTTCAATAACATTGCATTATCGCAACCAAAAAAAATAAGAAAAAAAAAGATAAATAAAATGTCAAACAAATTGTTTTAAAAGAGAATTCAAAAGAGTTTGAAGAAAAACGATTTCCCAAGCTTACAGCACTCAAATAATCTGAACGAAATCTTAAAAAATTAATTTAAGCAACTCATTTAGATGGATAATGATGGGGAATCAGTATATATGGTTGACATTATTTATAAATAATTCGATGTTTGTTTCCCATCTTAACTTCCTAAAAACTTTTGTCTTGTGCCTAAGTTTCTGATGAAATTTCGTAATTATTATACATACTAATAATTTTATATTAATCCAAGCTTCTTTAGATTAAATAAAATCAATATTATTTTATTGATATATTCAAGTCTAGACCAGAAAAAAGCTGATAAAATAAAGTAGAAATGCCTGGAAAGATAGTTAAGCTTTATCAGAAAACATTTTCGAACTCTTCCTCTTCCTCAATGAGCTATCTCAACCAATTCAATTACATTTATGTAAGACTAAACACAAATTTGTCATATTTGGGTTTTTTTTTACAGTTGTTTGCCTGCTGCAGCTGCCACAGGCTCACGCTGATGGCAAGCACAACCACAGCAGCGTCATTCCCGATGCCGAGTCAAGTGGCTCAGAGCGTAATCGTCGCCTGATTCCCTATATGGCATTCTATTTGCCAGCACCGGAGCTGCCCATCAATCAGCAATATGCTGTGAAGCATGGCTCGTCCGCCGGTGGCTCACAGCTGTTGGCACCGCCGCCCACTGCACCACCCAGCCGCATACCCGTGCCCGTTGCCTACATGCCGCCGTCGCATCCACAACAGCAGTCGCATTATCAGTCCAATGCAGCCGATGTGTATCATTCGTTGGCGGTGCCGCATGGACCACATGGACCACTGCCACCTGTGCCGGGCAAGGAGCCAGCACCATCGCCGGGCGCCACATTTATTGCCTACAAGCCATTGAGCGCCGCCGCACAAAAGGCAAGTACCACAAATAAATATGATTGCTGCATAAATAAAGTCGAATATAATCGTGAAAATCATCATAATAAATTACACAGCACAAGACGGTGCAGCACTTTCCACCGCTGCCGCAGCAGGAGCAGCCACATCATCGTCAGCAGGAGCAGCAGCAGCAGCAACAACATCAGTACGAGCTGCTGCCAGCAGGACCGCCGCAACTGCAGCTGCAGTTTCAGCGACAACGTGCTAAACAATCAAAAGTCAATTTAACGCCGTTTACACCGCATAACACGCTGCCGGGACACTTTGTACCCATTATTTATACGCCGCTGAGCAAATCCAATAGCAATAGCAATAGCAACAACAACAACAATGAGCTGCATAATGGCAATRCAATCAATTACAACAAAAAGCAGCCGCCAACTGAAATTGTCTACCATAAAAATGTGCATCAAACCCAAGTTGCGACGGATTATGCGGGAGATGTGCCCAATATAGCAGGAGTCGTCCCAATGCCGGAGGCCCAGTCACAGGAGGAGCAGGAGCAGCAGCAGCAGCAGTCAGCAGAGGAGACTGTGCCATCGAATCCCAGGTAAGACTTCATATTATATATAAATGTATTTAGTTATTGATATCAGATACAAAATGTATCTCTGCTAGTTGCTTGCTAAAATTTGGATCTATACAACTGTCAGATACAGTATCTATTGTAGCTATTAGCCCTGCTCTTAGCATTGTTTGTGCTGGTTTCCCACACATACACACACATGCACCTACACACACACACACCCCAAGTCACACGCCCATGCAGTACCAGGCATTGTTGCTTTTGCATTTGCAATTGCATGTTGCATATAAATTTAAAATGTTGCACCCATTTCATCAAGAATTTGAAAGGAAAAAGGTTAACAAACTCTTAAGCAGCTCGATTTTTAAATACTCTTTATTTGCCTATGAGTGATGAATTAGACAATTCTAGTGATAGCTAAGGGATTGAAAATATTACCAAATTAATTCCAATCAATCTCCTCAATCAATCTCCTATCCTTTTATCTTGAAGAAAAATTCCATCGGAATATAAGAGATAATATATAATCTCCGCATTTTGTTAATCAAAGTATAGAAAATATAAAATTAATATTCATATTTCTTAGTCAATCGATGGTACTTGGATATAGTAATTAAAAACTTAATATAGTTAAACTCGTTTGACAAGGCATTTAAGTGACTGCATTTGCATTTAGGAGAATTATCAATAATATCAATAGATTAATTAAGGCTACCTATAAAATTATATATATTTTTGTAATTTTATTGATTGAAATGATTCACAATAAATTGATCTAAGATCTATGATATAAAATAGTGCAATGCTTTGAATTTTTTATAAATTCATAAAATATTTTTTATTGATATTATCATTATTTTCTTTACCGTTATCAACATGACTGACATGAATTCATTTAAATTTTCTGCATCAGTCTTCCACTGCTCACTTTGCATTGCTTACTAATTGTGAGCTATTCGACATAGTTGTGACATTTTAAATAATTAAAATGGCAAATTAAAGCTGGCCGAGGCAAGCTCTGCTTGAGTAGCAGCTAGCAGAGCTGTTGAAAGAGCAGTGACACGGCACAGGTTGCATGCAACGCCCTTGGGCATAGAATTCAATTGCATTTAATGCATTGTGCCTCAACCCCGGCAACTGCAACTGCTGCAGTGGCTGTTCTCTTGCTCACCTTCTGCCTGCTCACTTGCCTCTCGCATCTCTCGGCAACGTCTCTGACGACATTCGCATCGGCTGACGTAAGAAGCTGTTTGCTGTACCCCACGAGGCGACCCCAAAGGGGCATTCAATGGGCGTGTATTGATGAGTACCTCGTGTGCTCCATCTCGTAATGTTCACAAATTGCAAAATCATGTCATAAACAACCGCAGGCTAACTGGCCCAAAAATACTGAAATTCATATATATTCTATATATATATGTATATGTATACATATGCTACTGGTCAGCCAATGGGCAGCTGTTGTTACAGCCCCATCAATTTCACCCTTAGATATCATGAACGTGGTCAGATATCAATGGTTCCTATTGCTTCTATAACTTCAAATGAAGTTAGTTTGATGAAGTTAAGAGAATAGATAATCCATTTACTGCCTAATCTGATGAATCTTCATTGAAAGTGGGGCATACCCTCAAATGAGAAACCCTAACCTAAATATTACTACAGTGAAATAGACATTGTAGATTGAATGGGAAACTCCCAAAAAAAAATAGAAAATAGCATCAATTGTTCCGATTGTTTCAATAACACTTCAGATATCATATAATTACTAACAAAATGGTTTTCCGTCACACCTACTAAAGAGAAAATATTTAACATCTTTTTGATGTAGTGAGATAGAGATCATGGAATCAATAGCAAAAGGAGAGAATGGCTATTAGATATTACTTTAGATAAGATTGATTTAGATATTTAAAACATAATGAAAAATTCACTATTCAAGCCCCGTTTATTCTTCAGTTTGCTAAAAAACGCGCATATCTTTAAAACATATATTAAATAAGACAAATTATATTCATATCGAAACGACAAGCTTTCCCGAGATATCTTAAAGAACAAAGAATGATATGATAGCGATAATAATCATCAATTTCGATAGTCAACAAAAATTCTCTACAACTTCCTGAACTTTAAAGCTCTCAATGACAAATACAAATCCATTACAAGACTCCATTCACTCCTTACACCACTCATACGCTTTTGCATGTGCCCCGCAGCGTTGGCTATAACGTGTACAATGAGCCAGCCGTTGTGACATCGGCCACAGCCACCACCTCCACCTCATCGACATCCACAAAAAGCGCATTGATAGTCCATCAAAAGTCGCCGGCCTATGGACACGTAAGCAAATACGAAAGTTACTTCAATATGTCGCCGGAGCAACAGCAACAACGGCAGCCACTGACGCCACAGGAGAAGTACGTGCTATATTTGCAGCAGCGCATGAAGCAACAAAGGCAGCAGCAGCAGCAGCAGCAGACACAACAGGAACGCTTACATCATCATCATCATCATCAGCACTCGCATCACAATCATCATCATCAACAGCCTGAGCCGAGCAATACGAAGGCGGCCAAGCACCCACACACTCCACACACACATACCCCCACAGCCGAACCACCATCAGCATCGCACCACAGTCAATTACACAATTACAACGGGCTCTTCGGACGTCCGGAAACCTCTGAGCAACAGGTTCTGCATATACCGTTGCGCGCCCTCCTGAACCCACTGCAAGAGCAGCCAAAGGACACGCTGCTCGGGTAAGTCCAGACTCACTGCTGCCGCATCAATATACCAATATTCTTGAACATATGGCCTAGGGTTCTTGAGTTCCTTCTAGTTGAGTTTTGTTTACTATTTGTAATACATGCCGTTTTATTTCCTTAGATCACCCACTCCACCACAGTTTATCGATTACCTCATCGATGGGCCGCGACAATCGCTAGATGAGGAACAACAACAACACCAACAGCAGCAACACCAACAGCAACAACACGCCTACATCCTGGTCACCACCACAGCTCCTTATACGGATCATTCGCCGCGTCTTCCGGATTTACCGCCACCCACCCGCCGCCCACATCTGTACAAACAGCAGCCCACGCTGCGCCTACAGCCCGTGACTCCAGTGCACAAATATCAAGCCACCCGTCGACCCGTCTACGTCAGTCCGCCCACGCCCAGCGAGACTGTCAAGATAACGCCCAAGTACGTCTATGTGACCAGCAAACCGCCAGCAGGCGCAGTCCACAGCGAGCAGCCCCAGGCACCGCCGCCCATTAAACTGAAACCCATTCACAAATACGCCCAAGAGCGACCCCATGCGCCGGCTCGACCCAGTCCGGCTCTTGCACCGAACGACATTGATCAGCTGCCCGACATACGCACCTCATCGCTGGCCGAGATCCTGCACAAGCTGCAAGCGAGCAACCACCTGCCGCAAACCCTCACCCCGGACAACATAGACAACTCGATCAAAACGCTGATACGCATTCTACAGAATCTCAAGCGGACCCAAACAATTGTGACCGATCCGCCACAGCATCACGAGACCAAGCCTAGCAGCAATTCCGATTATGATTACAACACGGGCAGCGAAGAGACGCATCAGACGCCAGCCAAGACGGCGGGCCATGTCGATGCGGATCTGCTGAATCTAAAGGGACCAAGTGAGTTCATAGCAGAAGAAGAAAGTCAACTCTCACTCATTTCCCCACACATAGACTCGAATTTACTTCAACTCTTCTTCTTAACCTCTCTTAGCAAAATTTCTTATTATATAATTTCTAAGATCTTTTTATACTTTTAAACCGTTGTTAAATTCCAAAAAGTGAATTCAGTCTACAAATTAACCTTTAAAATTTTCCTTCAAACTTTAAACCATATAACTCTACCCATAGATAAACATCCTGGTCCTAGCACAGGTCGTGCAGGCATTGATTATCCCAACTATGCGGAGATTCCGAAGACCAGCTTCGAGTGTACTCAGCAGCGTTACAAGGGTTTCTTTGGTGATCCGGAGACCAATTGCCAGGTGTGGCACTACTGTGATCTCAACGGCGGCAAAGCCTCGTTCCTGTGCCCCAATGGCACCATCTTTAGTCAGGTAAACTAACATAACTCTCTCAATCGAAACGAATATAGCAAATTCTCCATTTTCAGATTGCGCTGACTTGCGACTGGTGGTTCAATGTGAAGTGCTCGACGACTTCACAGTTATACGTGTTGAATGAGCGTCTGTATAAGTACATCCTACCCTTCAATCCCAAGTTCCCCGAGGATTACAATGGGCCCATTGTGGATAAGTAAATGCATCGCATAAACAATTCATAGCTAAACAATTAATAAACATTTCAACTGCTATTTCAGATATTTGGCCATGAAGTTCCAGGAAATGGAAGAGAAAATGCGCCTGGAAAAGCAGCGCAAAGCCAATCAGCTAGCGGAAAAGCCGGATGCCTCAGGCGAAGCATCCACGCCCGCATTGCCCAAGAACCACAAGGCGTCGCCCAAACATGGCAGCGGCATCAATGCACAGGTCTACGAGCAGAGCTCGGAACGTAATCTGCTCATCGATGATGAGATTGATGACATCTCGGAGCGTGGCACCTTCGACACCTATGGCCAGGCGCCAACTACGATAATGGCTCCAGTCCCAACAACAACGCCCATATTTCAAGACTCTCAAACCCTGGGACATAGGCCGATAGTAGTCTCATCAACACCTGGGCCAGATCTGTCCGATGAGCTGGACACGCTGCCAACGTTAGCTAGCGATCCAGAGCAGGAGTCTGAACTAAGCGAGAACTCGCCAGAGAGCAGCGAGGAGGTGGAAGAGAAGCTGCAAAATTTGCGTGACACAAATTCGGCTGCCGGCCAAAAGCAGCTCGAGACGACAAAAGTGAGCGTCGAGAAGCAGGAGGTGATTGAGATTAAAACAGATGGCTCAACTGGACACCTAATGCCCATAGAGCAGGCGAGAAATTGAGATAAAGAATAAGAGAGCCTGTGGCTGAGAGCATGCTTGCCATATTTGTAATGAGAGTTCTTGTACTTGTTCGTTTTTCGATTGCGTATGCGCATTAAATTATTCATAGCGAGCGACTACTGTAAATAGCTAACTGTAAATGAAACAAAAACTATCTAACTATATATACTCTATAGAAAACACTTAGATATACATTTTAATTAAAATAAATGCAAAGTATTAAGTAAAATATCTACTGAATTTATATTTACTCACCAGCTGAGCATTGTTGATTTGCAAGAGAGCCGCATCAATGGAATTTAGCGAAGATGGGATTTCGGCAATATAGCGATGGTTCTAGAAATGGATTTTGATATGTGGAATTTAGGGTTTTTTTTATAGAATTTATAGACTACTTATGCTGAACCGAGTGTCGTCTCCTACTCACCATTTCGCTCACTGTGCATGTCACATGATTGGCATGATGCCGAATGGCGCACGTTTCGCAGCTGTTGCGTTTGCATGAGGTGCAGAAGACGGTGGCCGGCACATTGTGCACGTTGCACATCAGCTGGACGGGCATACGAAAGATTTCATTGCCGATACGAAGGCCGATGCCGTTGCAAGAGTGCTGCTTATCGCCCAGGGGCTGAAAGAGGTGCGTCTTGAGGACGCGACTGTGCTGATGCACCGTTTCGTAGCAGCGATGGCAATAGAATGCATTGCACTGCTTGCACTCGCCTCGGGCTGCACTGTGGCCGCATTCGCTGCATTTGGTCTCCAGCACGATGTCATTGGCCAGCGAGGAGCAGATGAATGATTCATTTAAAGCATTCATCGAATAACGGTTATCATACTCCAGGCTATTTGTCTCGCCCAACACGTAATAGTTTAGCTCGTAGTAGTCGCATATGTTGCCAATATTTTTGCCATTGGATGCCTTGGCAATATAAATGGGTAACGCTGAGCTGAAGCAGACGGCGCACTTGAAGTCCTTTTGCTGGTAATGTTTTGAAATGCAAAATTCGCACATATGATGACCACAGGGTAACAAAAATGGGCGACGATAATCTGTATTAATGAAAAATTATGTAAATTCACCGATTAATTAAAAGAATAAATAAATAATA